GAGCAGGTCACAACCAGCATTGTTCCTGGATGGATATGATCTTTCAGTGCTTTATTTCCATGAATACAGACCACTGAAATCTTGCCTGTGCACAGTGAATGCAGTTGTGTTAAGTAGTTCTGATAGTTAATGATAACTTCAGGTGCTAATGGAACAAAGGGAGAGGAATAGAGCCTTTTACTCTAAGATAGCTGAGAAGCAACCATTCTTCTTGGTTTTGTTTTGTTTTGGTTGTTTTTCCTGAGCTATTCTGTTAAACGCTGAATGATGAGGTAATTTGCTTTGTAATGAGGAAGAAATTCTCACACTGAGCTTTTTATGGATATTTTATTAGGGAATCTTTAAGCTCCATAGAAGTACATGATTTTGTGTACACTGATAAAGTGGGGCTCCTGCTCTGGATCTTGGTTTCTTCAGGTTCTAATTTGGGCAGAGCGAAGTGTCTTGTAATGAAGATTTCTGCAAATTTTTCTTTTTTGCAAAAGCTTTCAACGGGAAGAAAAGATTAGGGATATAATTGTGATTCATAATTATCTCTGTACGCTCCAGAAGTCTTGTCTTCCGTGTAGTCACAGAGATCCATTATGTATGTGGTGTGAATGATAAAATTGTTACCATCTGTTTACATACTGATAGCAGGTGAAAATAAAGCTATCAGTGTAAATGACTTACTATTATTAAAGCTGAATTTCTGTCTTCAGCTAATAAGTTCTGTTTGTGTTCCTCCAGTTCAATTCAAAGAATGCTCTATTATGAATGAACTTGGAGATTAGAAACTAAGAACACTGGTACATCCTTTGTTAAAGATGACACTATTGAATCAAACTTTCCCTTCTAGCTAAACAAAAAAGCTTTTTAGCCTAGTTTGGTGGTACCTCAATCCAGAATCCTGATCTAAAATGGGATGCAAGAGTTCTGAAATGACAGGATGCAATTGGTGTGATCAAAATATTTGTAGTAAATTTTCACACTTGCTGGTAATTGTCATTAAAATCGTTCAATAAGTATTTGAGTTCTCATTGAAGTGTATTTCTTTAATATTAGTTGTAGATAAGTGTACTTTATCTACTAGATCTATGTATTTTACACTGTTTCTTTCTCTAAGTATTAGCACCAGTGTGTATAGTAGAATAAGAAACCTTGATACATTCAGTAAAACTGAAGTTAACTGAAAACTAAATAGATCAGATACTTCAGTAATGAAGTTTAGGTGGTTTTGCTTTCCAGACTCCTAGAAAATCCCAGGCTGATTACTTTTTACCCCTTTGTTATAGTACCAATTTATAGAATGTGCTAAATACATTGATTCCTTCTCTTTAGGTTGAGTGGATTTATAAATGAGAACATCTTACACCTCTAGTCCCAGTGGACCTTTTTCTTGTGCCCTTGTGTTTTTGCTCTCTATTAGGAGGTAATGCATCTGTAGCACAATGCCAGCTGCCTCTTTCTTCAATGTTTGTTTTTTTTTTTTTTTGTGTCAACACCAACTTTTGAGAATCAAGCATTACATGAAAAACTCTCCCAGTGGAATGCAGCTCTCTTCTGTTTTCAGCTTCCTGTAACCAGTAGCTGGAAGGACATGTCAAAAAGAACTTGCAGTCAGTCTTTGAAGGGCTTGTGGAAAGTGTTAAGAAGTTTCTGGCAGGTCTCTCTTCTGTGTTTGCTCTGCAATCTTTTATCTTCTGGAAGTATCAAAGGCATCAACTGAGTGGCCTGGTTTTTTGTCTGATGTTGCAGTTTCTGTGGCGAACATCCCTTAAATTCCTTTTTTATAGTGACTATGGCCCTGGAGAGAGGCTTCCTTAGCTGCTGGAACACCAGTGCATTCTTTATCATCACAGTTAAATGCCTAATGCTCTTTCTGCTGTGGCACATTTATTGTTGATGCCAGGCTGTCAGTGCTGCCTTTCATTTGCTTTGTACGTGCTGTCAGTAATAGGTGTTGCCTTGGGGCAAGTGAGTGCTTGGTGTGTTCTGGTACTTTATCAACCTTTATTCAAGTTATTGATATCTTGATCTGAAATCCATAGCAGATGTTATGGTAGAAGTAATGACTTATCCTCCAGCTGATTTGAGATCTTCAACCTTGATTTCTCTGATCGTATTTTATATCTGTTTGCATGGAAGAAACCAGTAGAAATTGTGGAAGGCTAATGATAGTGGTCTTCAAAGCTAAAAAATATGGTTTAGGTGGAATAAACAAGTAATAAAACACTGTTGAAATAAATATTGCTCTTACACAAATTTGTGATAGTTTAGATTCCTGTCTAATGGTTTTTCATGAAATACTGTAGGCACATATGGCTCTGCTTCCCTGGAATTACTGCATTGGTTAAATCACTACATTTCAAGGTCATGTTTTAAGCTACTAATATTTTAATAGTAGGAAGATTATATGAAACATATAGAGTGTGACAGTAACTTTGTTAATATTACATGGTATATGACTGGAAACTATTTTCTCCACAGCTCTGACTTGCCTTCTTCAAAATTAAGCATAGTTAAAACACTCTTCTCTCTGTGCTCATCCTAATCATCTTTTTTACTGACATTTTGTTTTGCAAACCCTCTGTTAATAACATTTCTTATTTGCAGTTTGGTGCTTCGTAGATTAAAAATAATAATGTTGAGATTACAGTGTGTGTTTCTACAGTGTTACCTTAATATATAATTTCAGTAAAAGTATTTGGGATTTTTTAATGCTTACTATGTTATTTCGCATGTGAATGTGCAACTTGAACAGAGAATTTGACTCTGGTATCTTTGTCTCCAAGAACTGATTGCAAATCTAGAATAGTCAAAATATTTTTCTGATTTGGCTTTGTATTATATTATATAAGATTGTATTTAAAGGATCCACAGATACAATTTTTACGTTGATATGCCTTTGTACTTCTTTTTCTTAGTGTTTTTGGTGAGCTGTTCATGGCAGCAGTCTGCTGACTCTAAGGCAATACACGTTTTTCTCAAATTTTTAGACTATGCTCAATAATTCAGTAATGTGCCATTATTACCTATTTAATGTATTCTTGCCATTAAAATTTCATTTGCTTTTGTACAGTTAAATGTCATTGAAGACTGAACTGTACCAGGTTTTTCTTAAGATGAGCAATTCAACAGTCCAAGCTTGAATTTCTAACCAAGGAGGTTAAACTTATTTTCAATACACTGAAAATGCAGGTCTTGCTACTGTGCTTGCACTGGTGTGGGTTTTTATAGGCAGATATTAGTTTCAAAATCTCGATATTTATATATTAATATCCATCACATTGTTGGTTTCTCTTTCTAAATGAACATTATAAGCAAACAGCTTTTCTCTTGTGCTACTGGGGTTTTAATTGAGAGGAGAGAATTGCTGTAGAAATTTATATTACGTAAAGTTTTCTATTACACTTTTAAGAACCAATTTTTAAATTACTGTTTACGTAGTCTTCCATTTGTTAGAGCAGGAAAATCCAGATGGAATATTAGGCCTCTTTCCAATGGAAGGTATTTTCAGCTTTCTTTCATGCTTGTGCAATGACAGCCTTTTAGGTACTCAGCAGTATCCAAATGCTACAGAAATGTTATTAATAGAATATCCACCTGAATTTCCATTCTTTATTATACAATTTGTTGACTGTTTTCTGAAGGATCACTTTTGGATTTAGTCTAATCTCAAAAAGAAATTTTTGTTATGATGTCTCTATATATCTCTGTCCCCTACTTAGTTCCCTGTTTGTTTGTTGTTTTTCAGAGACTGGGATCTCAAAAACGTTGCGTAATTAGAAATGTGATACGAGGCAGCCTCTCAAATTAGAGTCTCAAGTCTGGGGAAAGGCTGAAGCGTGAGCTCTGCTCTATTAACACTCAGAATCCACATGGAAGAGTCATTACAAGGAAAAGCTGCAGGGAGCCAGGCTGCGTGATTTTTGTAGTTCAGGGAATAACTTGTCTTTTGTTCTTGGAGTTTGATATGTACAGCACAACACTTTCATCAGCTACAATTGGGTATCAGCAGAACTAGTTTAATCCTGTACCAGCTGTGGTTTTTCCCACTGATTTGTGACTTGGTGGATATAAACAACTACACAGAAGAAAACAGCAGAGAGAAACGTACTTGCTTTGAGGCAAACTAATATTTCCCCTAATAGCTTGCATTGCACCCTTTTTGTATTTGCAAAATAATTGTTCAAAAATAATTTTCTCAGTATAGGGGGGAAAAAGCCACATTTTTCCATTTAAAAAACATTATTATTAAAACTTTTAATGATGACTACTGAGTCAAAAGTCCATCTCAGTCTCATTTCTAGACTTCCATATTTCCTAAGGAAAAGAAAAAAGACTTGTGTTGTTCCGTGGTGCTTTTCTCACTAATAATTTTTCAGACATGTTTGTCAGTACTGGGGCTGGTGGGTGGATATTTCATTTTTGTAAGTTCTGTGAAATTACATAGTTGAGAGCACCTCAGAAAAGTGTACCTAGGACAGGAAGCCTGGGGCATGAGCCATGTGGCTGGGCAGGAAAGAATCCACAGAGAAGACTTTTGTAATAAAAGGCAAAGAAAATTAGATGTCATACTATCTAATTTTGTCATTGCTAGTTAGGCATGTTTAGCGTATAAAATGTATGTCCGTAATGTGGGGAACATGACATCACTCAAACACAGTGAGAGATCATAGAGTCTCACAGCCAACTAACTAATTTTTACTATGTCATTTCACAGAATGTATTTTATAAAATTATTCCTTACTTCAAAGAGAAATGTCCAAGATATTTATACATTTTATTAAGTTGTATATTCTGTTAGTGTCAGATCTTCACCACTGGAAAGGGGTCATCTAATGGAAATGTTAGTATGAACTTGCAGGCATGTTGATACATAAAAGTGTCATATTTGAAAGCAGAACAGCATTTGCATGTTTTCCAGTTTTAACCTTTGTATTGATTTCTCTTTACCTTTTTTACTTTTACTGTTAGATTGCACTGAATTTGAATAATTTTCCTTAACAAAACCTTACAGCTTTGCTGAGAGTGCTCGAGAGCAATATGAGAAATTGTCCAACATGCACAACAATATGACTAAATTGTATGAAAATTTGGGAGAATACTTTACCTTTGATCCCAAAGCAATAAGCATAGAAGAATTCTTTGGTGATCTGAGCAACTTCAGAACTCTATTTTTGGTGAGTATTGTCTTCAAAATATTATATATTTTCTGATATCTTTTTTTTCCCAGTTTTAATTCTTTCCTTATTTGTCTATTTTTTCCACCATAGTTAACTTAATGTTTTGTCCTGTGGCAGGAAATTGGGTGAATGTTTCCAGAATCATATAGATTTTGATCACAGATAGCTCTTGTCCTCCAATTTGTAACTTGACAATTCAACTGTGAATAAGGTTGAGACATATGGATAGATAGAAAATATTTTTCCTTTCTTAACTAAATTGCCTGTTGGCTGACACACAATAAACAGACAGGATCTGAAAAGCATGGTAAAGCCAGACTTGAATGGAAGTTCCTACACTGATAATTGTGTTAGAATCTGGCTCATGCCTTGGTCATACTGAAATCTTGGAGATGAGCTGTGTATTGCTGACACAAGTTGACTTAGGTGCTTGTACCACCATTTCCAGTCATCCAGAGTGATCAGGGTATGTCCTTTTTATGAAGAAATTCGAGAATTTCATTTTAAACAGTGAAGTTTTTAATGGGTTTAATGTCATCTTTCTTAGTGGCTTTCTGGAAACCATAATTAGCTGCACCGTAGGAAGTGTACAGAGAAAACAGATGCCTGGAATGTCACATTGTGTCTCTGGAGAATACAAACATGACTTGGAAATACCACTGTTTGCCATACAGCTGGGGCTCACTGCTCTGCCTGTTGCCAGGAGCTGCCTGAATTTATCATGCAATCATAAGAGTTTGTGTGATGGAGGAATAACTCCTTTTAAACATAATTAGCAGAAGAGGCTGTTGTGAAAGGTTTAGTGCAGTTAAACCACCATCTCTAGCTGAATCCTTCTGCTAGCTTTGATTTGAAGCAAGTACCTTTTGTATATTTTCAGCTTTTTTAAAAAAGTAATCCAACTCTTGTATTTCAGTTACATACTGACTCAATTTTAATGGTCTTTCTTTCTTTTTAAAATTTGGATACATGTTCTAGCAGAGAACAAATGAAGTGTAAGGTCTCTTTCTGGTAGGCAAATGTTTTTCTAGATAGAATAGACATACTCCAAATCGTCTTTCTAAGTTTCCTAAAAAGTAAGGCTAATTTCTTGCATTACTTTATAATTTTAGGAAGTGGACAAAATAATTTCCTAGGATACTATTCTAATGCTACCTGTTGGTCTAAATAGTTAATTACATCCATCTGATGCTCCAGTCTTTAACATTTTATCCATCCTTTAATCTTCTAAGCCTATTTTTAACAAAGTTTGTCACTAAGAAAATGACCTTGGACCATATGTATGATGCATACTAATTTAAATAGGAATTCTCCAATATAAAATAGTGAAATCCAAGGCCTATGTAGCTTGAGGAGACACTTTCTTTTCCACAGCATCAATTCTGCCTCAGTCAATTCACTTGTTCAGATACATCTAGTAGTAGTAGTAATTGTAATTAGGTCTTTTGAGAATTTCTTGACTTATTTTATCCACTAGAGCAGAACTTTGTAGACTTTAGTGGCATAAAGATTGTTGTTGAGGGATTTAATGTTTTCCAGACGCTTGAGTAAGGCCTAGGGCAAACATTAGAAGTTCACAGTACAGCAGTTTTTTTTTTCCTATAAGGAAAAAAAATACTAAAAAGAATTAAGATTTTCTGTAATATTTTGATGTTTGCAAGAAGCTTCCCTGAAAGAAAGGAAAAAGATACTGAAACTGCTTTAATCTCTAGGATTTACTGTAAGAAAGTAATAACTATTGATAAGAATTCAGGAGCAATCAGATAAGACTGAAGATATACAGCATCTCCAAACGTTCCCTAGAGCATGCATGTTTATTAAATTTGTCCAGTTTAGACTGATGTAATGCCTGCATTCTTTCTCTAAGTGGTCTCATTAACTTCTTTTAGTATTTGGGTAAATGATTGAAGTATGATATCAAATATTTTTGAAATCTTGATGACTGATTTCTTCCTGTTTATCATTCTCCTATATTCTTGTTAGTGCCTGATTGTTGATAAAAGCTTGTTTCTTCTGCCACTAGTCATTTTAATTTAGAAGTTGAGAAGGTCTTCAGGTTGCTGCTTCCGGTTTTGTTGATCACATTTCTGTTGTGGACTTTTATGACAACAAGGGAAATCATAGAAACATAAGGTAATTTGTCTAAGGGAGATGTGAATATCTCCATGAGTGCAGATTCTGTGACTGGGAGACAGCACTGCAGGCTTTGCTAAAGCCAAAGGAATCAGTATCCATTGCTTGTCCCTCATCCACAGAGCCAGACATCTCATTAGAGGAGCCCATCAGGTTGGTCATGCACAATTTACTGTTAATATGTCCAATGTTGCTGTTTCCAGTCACCTTCTTGTACTTTATGTACCTGGAAATGGCTTCCAGAAGGAATTGCTCTGTGATCTTCCTGAGCACAGAAGTGATGGCTGACCAGTGTGTAGTGCAACACGGTTCTCTCACTTTTTTTGAAGATCACCTTATTTGCCTTTTCCAGGCATTGAATATGTTTCTTGAGTCCCACAACTTCGATGAAATAGAGGCCTTGCAATGCCTGACATGCCTGTGAGACGCTGATGGCAAAGGTTGCGATGGAGGTGGCACAAGTATTTCAACCCCTCTTTGGTGTGGGGGTTCAGTCCTCCATTCAACTGCAGGCTGATGGTTTTTCTTCATTCTCCTTTGTCTGTCCTCCTAGCTATAAAAGCCTTTCCTGTTGCTTTTCTCACTGACAGTTTATCTCCATCTGAGCTTTGACTTAGTTGCTTCCCTCCCTGGGCAGTTTTCCTCCTGGATAGTATAGCTGGCCTTCCACTTCTCCGTGTTTCTGACTTGTGTCAGAACTCCGTCAGCAACGCCTTGTTCAGCCAGGATGGCCCTTGTCCCACCTGTTCAGCTTCCCACATGGCAGGACAGGTGTTGCTTGTGCTTTAAGAATGTTTTCCTTGAAGGTTTGTTGGGAATAATGAACACTTTGCATATACATTGCATTTTAATTGAAACCACAGTGTTTATAGTTGCAGATAATTGGCCTTTGTGAGCACTTAAATTCAACATAGCCCTTCAGAAAAGCTTCACTTGGCTTCTGTTACATTTGTACAACAGCTGTTTCCCTTTGCTTAACCTATGATTCTGCTATGGAAAAGCAAGAATACTGATTAAATATGTTGATTGGAATGTCAATTTTTCTTTGTTCCATTTACAACTAAGAAATATATAGTGATGCAACTTAATTAGGGTATTTAACAAAGGTGGAATATATTTATGAATGTTTCTAAAGATGAATCTAAATTACAAATATATTTTGAATGGCAAATCCCCAGGTCAGAGAGAAAATTCTCTCTATGCTTTTATATGTACAGATACACATAAAAGTAAATATGGAGCTTCATGTGTCTTGGTCTTATAAAACTCACATCAAGCTAGTTAATGGTAAGAAAACACCTGGTCTTTTAAAAATTCATGTTAAAAACTTTTGAAAATTGTTGAAGGAAGTGCCATATTTAATGGGTAATGATGCTTATTTTATTACTTGAAATGAAAAAGTAGATGCATGCATCATCTTTTCTAATTGCTTGCCTTCTGCAAGTTGGACAAAAACAGTTTTTAGCAAATGCACCCCCTCATAGTTTAAGCATTCAGCAGTTGTTGAGCCGAATGAAAAGATATAGAGTTTATGAGAAAAACATTTTCTGGAAGTCACTGTCGTTTTTCATCCTTCATTCTTGTAATCAAAACGTAACAGCAATACAGTGATAGTCCTTTGGGTCCTGTAGTTTCTCTTCAAGTTATTTTCCAATAAAATTTTCCACACAAATAATTTGTTATTCTCTTATCCCTAAACAATGTGAGGAAAAGCAATTCTAAGTAGGCAGTGTAGGCTGTTACAGTAACTGACCTTTTTCAGTTTCTTCACGAGACATATTGATTAGGGTTGGAGCATTTTCTATGCTTTCCCAGCAATAGACAATTACCCCTAAACACTGATTCTTTTGTGGGCATTTTTTTGTTGTTCTTTTTGTTCTGAAAACTGTACAAAGTCTCAAAACAAGTGCCAAAATTAAGTGCAGTCTTTTTTACTTAGTTTTTATCAACACCTGTCTACCTTTGTGTGAGAGAGAATAAGTATTTTTTGGGCTGTTCTGATATGTCAGGAGCAGGAACAATGTGTTATGTAGGGAGTTCACAGTCTCACCATGGAAACTGTCCTCTGTACAATTGCAAATTGCCAAAAAAACTTAGAGCCCCCCCAACCAATCCTGTGACCAGACACTCCTTGTGAGCCCTTTCAGTTCACTGAGCTGAGGGAATTGACCTAGAGATGCAGAGAGAAGAAACAGAGTTTATTTATTTATTATTCTATATCTGCTCCCATTTTATCCCCAGGCTTCTCTAACCATTTTTACAGGAAATGTAATTAGAGTCAGGGGGTCAGTGAGACAAGGAAATAAAATGTGTATCATGTTCCCCCTCTTGCAGTCAGACATTGTGTCCCTCATGGCTGTTCTGATCTTTGCTCAATCCCTTTTTTTTTTTTTTAAATTTGTCTTAAGATTAGGTAGAATATTTAGAACTTTGAAGTGAGCTTTTAAACAGATTTTTCCTGGTGCTTGTGTCACCTCTCTCTTCATTTGCTTCTCTGATTTTGAGCTGAAGTCTGTCTTTATAACCTCACCATATCCAAGGAGGTTATCACAGGTAGTGAGTAAAACACTTCAGCAGGACTCTCCTTTGCCAATGGAACATGAGTCAAATTCAAACCTGAAGGAGGACAAGAAACAAGGTGCAGTTAAAATAGTAAATCCACTGGATAATATCGTCTCTTTTATATTTAGGACTATTCTGAAGAAGAAATATTTTTTTTTTTTTAGATTTTATTGATTTAGTCCTTTATTCCATTGAAAGTAAACACAAATTTGGATTGTCGTTGAGGAAAAATGCAACCTGATACATTTTGGCTTGATATTGTTTCAGGCTCTTATCAAATAATGATTAATCAGTTGCCTGAA